TAAGAATTACATTTATTTAGTTACTGTGTTATAGTAGAATACATGAAAGGGTACCTTAAAGATGAATTCCAGTGCTTGTTTTTTGTAGACTGTTAGGTTCTGATTTTAGTCATACTGATACACTAAGAGGAACAGCAGTTTCTTTAAGAAATTGGCCCTGCATCATGGTTCTCCACCTGTCCAGTTCTGTTCTGCAGAAACTGGAGTGCTCTTGATTGCAAGATGCTTGTATCAGTGTCTGCAATCACAGCCCAAAGGCCTTGGAAGTAAAAAAGCCTGAAATTACATAGAAGATGAAGTTTCTTTAAATTGTGGCCTAAAAGAAAAAAAAATTCTGAAAATATTTACAGTGCATAGGATCTCTGCAGGGAGGAAGGCTGTTACAGTGGCAACACACTGAAGGATATATTAGGAAGTCTACTAAGAAGAACAGGGAATAAACTAAAAATGTTAGGTTTTTATTTCACGTTAATAAGGTAGTCATTAAGATAGCTGTTGTAGAAGAAGAAAGGAATGGAAAGAAATTCCAAACCACAAATTTTGGGTCCTTATATACATGCTTAGTAAAAGGTGGAGAGAAGGAAGTAAAGCCATTTTTATCTTTTCAGTTTGTTTATTGTTTTCTTAGTTACAGTGCTTTTAAAGTTATTTAATTCTGAGCATGTATAGACTGTGCAGTGACTTACTATTTTTGAGGTGTTGGTGGGTAAAACAGGGCTTTTAAAATACAGAAGAAACTTGTGTAATTTGTTTTGTAATGGACAATCCAGCATTTTGGAACTATCATGTGAATGTGCTCTTTGTCTTCAAGTCCCACATGATAGTAATCACAGATGCAGTCAGGACCTCTTTGCCTTTGTGGAATTAAATCTTAGGCTATTTTTTTGGCTTTTAAAATATTTTAAAACTATTCCCGTAGTTTTTCTGTAACTTTCTTATTTCTGGGCTTACTTAAAAACATGTAACATATAAATTGATATCTAAGGAGTATGTAAATACATTCAGGAAATCCTTTTCCTATAACAAGTTTTTGGTCATGACCCCACCCTCCCCCTTCCTTTTATTTCCAATAACTACAATCAACATCAGTATTCCTCTTCACAGCCAAATTTTAAAAGCATTCCTAACTTGGTGAACAGAAGGGCATCCTGAACTCTTTAAGTGATTTACGCTTTTGAAAGCCTGGCCTCTGGCAGGACTTCAGGAATTGGAGCTGAAGCAACTCCCCTCTTTCCTGCTTTCTGCCCACTTCAAGTCCAGGAATGTGTTCTTAAAAATAATGACTTTAAAAATAATTTAAAAAAACAGTTACCAAAACTATATTAAAACTTGTAGCTTTAAATCCCTGTGCATTGGAAGGACTCTGTTGTAATAACAAGGGTTAAAGAATTTAGTGGGAAAGGGGGCATGCAGGGACATGCATTAGCTGAGCTGACATTACTCACTTTCTCTACTGTGCCAAAACCAGACATGCTGCAATTGGCCTGTGCAAGGAGCTTTTCTCTGTCACTTGGTTATAGTTGGATGAGCACAGCTCCAAAAATTTAGGTTTCAAACTTCAAAAAAACCAAACAACTAAGAATGCCAATGTCTTGCCTTTGGAACCCCTCTACCAAAGGGACTAAGAAAAGGAAGGATTTTCAGGGTTTTATGAAAAGATGTTAAATGAAAGTACATCACACAAACGGAGAGGTATTTCAAAATTAATTCAGACATTTAACACATTCCCTAAAAATATGTGTTTATGTCCCATTGTGTTAAGAGTATTTGTTCAGTTTGAAAATCATGACAAGCTGTTTGTCAGTTGCTGCTATTTTTAGGTTCTCAGACCAACATCTGTTAAGTGATCTGAGCAGATCAGTGACGCATTGTGTGACTTTGCAGTCTTCATTTTTTAGAAGAGTACAGATAAGTCATCTTCATAGATGAGGTGTTTGTATTCTACTTCAGCTGATCCACCTGCTTCAAATACCTGATAAAATACATGTGTAGGTTTTTTTAAGTGTAGCAGTTAGTTAAAATGATTTCTGAATGCACTTTGTACATTAAGGCAGGAGTCATTTGTTAATTCAGAAGAATATGAATCATTAATATCTAATTCAGTTTGAGGGACTCATTTGTCTTTTAATGTATCTTTGTTTATTTAATTTTAAACAGATATGCTCAACCACGCACGTTCTATAAATATTTTTGTCCAGTCTGCCAGCCACACTGCTACCAATGTTAAATAATATAGTGGCCATGGGGAGCTTTAGATAATGGACAAAGTCCTGTAGCTTTTAGTAGCTTTTACAGAAGTTTAGAGGTTTTCATAGATTTTTGATAACTGAAAATAAGAAATAATTTTAAAACAGGTTCTCTAAATTGAAAAAAAAATAATAGGCCCTTATTTTAAACTCTGGAGAGATTAGAAAATTGTATTTTTAACATGTCATTTTTGCAGGACAAAATTATGCTGGGCTCAACACTAGAGTAATTTGGAATAGATTTTTTGTTTCAGATTTGGAAATGAAAACACATTTTTCTGGTAGTTCGAAGTTACTAAAAAACTTCAAATTTAGGGGAAGATACAACAGCAGGGATTAACAGCCAGAAATGAAGTACTCAGTAACGACTGACTCCAATTTAGTGCATGGACACAACCACCTTGTATGTTTGCATGTGAATAAATGAACAACCAACACTTGGGAGGGCAACAGAAGTGTGATGGAAATAAAACATAGGTTCGAAAATGCAATTTGCAGACATGGATGGAGGTCCTTTTTTTCATAAACTTGCTCCATAGTGTCTGTATCACTGGTTGATGTGTTATAGGAAGGATTTTGGAGACGGTTTCTCTACCTCATGTATTTTTAAGTATTTTGAAGTGTGTGCTCTAGGCCAGAGACTGGAGAAAGGGGAAACCAAGGACCTACTCAAAAACCTTCAAGATGTGAATTTTCAGAAGTATCACAAAGACCCCACCCATACTGTATCACTGTCAAATAAGATAAGATTGGATTAAATATTTTCTTTTTTTTTTTCTTTTTTCTCTAAGTAAAATTCTCACTTGGTCATCTGGTCTTTTGGGGGCTGATGGGATTCACTTGTCTGACAAATGGGAGAGAGTCCTTGGCCAGAGACGGGCCAATTTAGTTAGCAGTGCTTTAAACTAATGGTGCAGGGGGTGGGGACCCTCAACTCATCCCACACTCACCACATTCAGGACAGAGCCAGTAAAAGGTGCCCTGAGCGTACAGGAAGATTGCAGGCCAACAGGAAAGCATCTGACCTGCAAAATGCTACCACTGTCAGCACGACTGCTTTGAAGGGAACCCATCTTAAGTGCCCCTATGCGAATGCATGGAGCATGGGGTACAAACAAGGAATTGCAAATGTGTGCATGCCTGCAGGGCTGTGATGTTATCGAAATCACTGAGATTTGGTGGGGTTACTACTATGACTGGAGTGTGGGGATGGTTGGGTATAAGCTCTTTAGGAAGGACAGGTAGGGCAGAAAGAGAGGGGTTGTCACCCTCTTTATCAGTGACCACCTGGAGTCTGTGGAGCTCCACCTGGGGATGGAGGAGAAGACAACTGAAAACTTACGGGTCAGGGATAAAGGGAAAACGGGGGCAGGAGATACCATAGTCGGAGGGAACCAACAGGGACAGGCTGGTTGATGTTGTCAGACCTAATGGTACATTAGGCTGCAGCAACCATGACATGGTCAAACTCAGAATCCTTAGGGCAGTGAGGAAGGAGAGAAGGAAGCTCATTACCCTCAATTTCAAAAGAGCAGGCTTTGGTCTCTTCAAGGATCTGCTTGGTAGGGTACCATGGGACAATGCCATGGAGGGGAGAGGCGCCCAGGAGAGCTGGTCCATATTCAAGGATCACCTCCCCCATGCCCTGAAGCAATGTGTCCCATTGAAGAAGAAGGCAGGCAGGAGTGCCAAGAGAGCTGTATGGACGAGGTAGGTGCTCCTGGACACAATTAAATGTAAAAAGAAGGCATACAGAGCGTGGAAGCAGGGACAGGTATCCTGAGAGGTGTACAGGAAGTTGTCAGAGAAGCAAGGGGTCAGGTAAGGAAAGCCAAAGCACAGATTGAATTGTATCTGGCCCGGGATGTTAAGAACAACAATAAAAGTTTCTACAGGTATGTCAGTAGTAAGAGGAGGATAAGGGAGAATGTGGGTCCACTTCAGAAGGAAACTGGAGACCTGACCATGCAGGACATAGAGAAGGCTGAGATACTCAATGACTAATGGTGCCTCACTCTTCATCAACAAAGGCTCTGGTCACACCATTCAAGTTAGAGAAGACAAAGGCAGGGACTGTGAAAGGAAGATCTCTGTAGGAGAAGAGCAGGTTTTTGATCATCTGAAGGACCCGAAGATGCACAAGTCCATGGACCTGACAGGATACATCCACACCTTCTGAAGGAATTGGCTGGTGAAGCTGCAAAGCCTTTGTCCTTCATATTTGAAAAGTCTTGGCAGTCTGGAGAAATGGCCACTAACTGGAAAAGGGGAAACATAACCCCCCCTTTTCAAAAAGGTAAAAAAGGAAGACTGAAGAACTATAGACCAGTCAGTCTCCTGTATGCCCAGCAAAATCATGGAGCAGATCCTCCTGAAGGCTTTCCTAAGGCACATGGAAGACAAATGGATGACTAGTTACAGACAGCACAGCTTCACTAAAGGCAAATCCTGCCTGGCTACAATGGAGTCCTGCCTTCTACAGTGGAGTCATGGCATTGGTGGACAAAGGAAGAGCAACTGACGTCATCTACCTGGACCTGTGCAACACCTTTGACACTGTCCCACACAACATCCTGGTATCAAAACTGGAATGATACAGATTCGATGGATTGACTATTGATTGGTAACTGGCTGGATGGCCACACTAAAAGAATTGTGATCAACAGCTCAATGTCCAGATAGAGACCTGTGATGAATGGTGTTCCCCAAGGGTTGCTACTCAGACCACTGCTATTTAGCATCTTTGTCAGCGACATGGACAGTGGCAGTAAGTGCACCCTCAGCAAATTGGACAGCAACACCAAACTGTGTGGTAGGGTTGATACACTGGAGGGAAGGGATGCCATCCAAAGGGACCCTGATAAGCTTGAGAGGTGGGCTTGCGCAAACTGCATGAAGTTCATCAAGGTCAAGTGCAAGGTTCTGCACCTGGTCAGGGCAATTCCAAGCAAAAATACAGGTGGGGTGCAGAATGGATTGAAAAGAGTTCAAAGGAGAAGGACTTGGGGGTGATGGTGAATGAGAATCTCAACATTAGCCAGCAATGTGCACTTGCAGCCTAGAAAGCCAACTGTGTCCTGGGCTGCATCAGAGCAAGCAGGGTGATTTTCCCCATTTACTTGGTCTCTAGGGATTGCACCTGGAGTAGTGTGTCTAGTTCTGGAGGGCCAACAGAAGAAGGACATGGAGCGCCTGCTGAGAGTCCACAGGAGAGCCACGAAGGTGATCTGAGGGCTGGAGTACCTCTCCTGTGAAGAATGAAGACAGGCTGAGAGATCTGGGGTTGTTCAGCTTGGAGAAAAGAAGACTCTGGGGAGTCATCATAGTGGCCTTTTGGTATCTGAAAGGAGTCTCCAGGAAAGACGGAAAGGGACTTTTTACACGGATTTGGAGTGATAGGACAAGGGATAATGGATTGAAACTTGAGGAGGGGAGGTTTAGGCTACACATTAGGGAGAAATTCTTTACTGTGAGGGTGGTAAGACAAGTTGCCTCTGGAAATTGGGAAGCCTCACCCTTGGAAGGGTTTGAGGCCAGGTTGGACAGACGTTTGAGTAACCTGGTCTAGCGGAAGGTGTCCCTGCCCACGCAGGGGGGTTGGAACTAGGTGATCTCTAAGGTCCCTTCCAACTCAAACCATTTTATGATTCTGTAGAGTTAGGTAGAAAAAAATGTGCCACTCAGGTGGCAATCTTGGCAGGAGTTCTCATGGTAGCACAGTGGAGCAGATCTACAACAGTGACCATGGTGTGGATCACACTGATGAAACAGGCCTTTGTACCCCCTGATGTTCTTGTCATTTGAGCCATGATCTTGAACCTGGTAATTGGGGCTTTTAGTATCTAATGTGGTCTCTGTGTGTGAAAGCTATCTATGATGAAGCATATAAAAAACTGAGAAACAGTCTCTTGGTTTATTCCATTTGTAGTAGATAGTGACAACCCAGCTGCGATATTTGCAAACCATATCAGCTAACCCTTGCAGGGAGGGATAACCCAAAGTATGTTACAGTGCGGCAGTCTGGGATAATTTTATTTCAGTTCCAGAGGTGCTTAAATATTAAAATGTTTCTTAAATGTGTGCATGGCCTTTTTTTGGTTTTGTTTTTGCTTTCAAAGAAAATATTGAAATGAGGCTGTTAAAGCAAGACTCTCTTTTTCTTTAACTCCAAGCATTTTTAGCAGACTGTGGTACTTATTGAAGGTCTTAATTTTACTTTAAGAGTCACACCCATACTTTATTATCTTTTTTACATGCTTTTCTAGGAATGCCTGTATTTTGCCAAAAATAATTACCTGGGTAAGCTTTCTAAAAATATGGAGGGTTTTAATGAGCAAAACAAAGAATGAATTTTGCTGGATCTGGTATTAGGTTTTTTTGTAGTGTTGAATGTTTTCTTTTTTCTGTGAAACTGTGTTGCTGCACTTATCTCTGTCTTGTTTCCATATTACACTTGAATCACAATATGTGAACTTAAATAGGTGAAGATCCCAGCCCTACCCCCTGAGCTCGGTTGCACAACAGTGGTGCTCCTGTTGTATCCAATACTGGATCAAGCACCATATCCTTTCTGGATGGAAAAGGTCAGCTGTTTTTGAATGGAAAAACGAAGAGGGCCCGGCAAGTCTTCGTAAAATAATTGTGCTGAGGCTCCATGATTTTTACTTGATTTTTTTTTTTCCCCATTTGTCACAATAGCACTTAAAAAAAGTGCATGAGAAAAGAAACGAACAGTAGTTCTTTGTACACTAATGGTAGCCTGTATTGTAAGTGGCAATGCTGACTTCCTCTGAAAAATACTATTGAGTTCTATTATCAAAAAGTGCTGAGATCAAAGTATTATACCTATTACAAGTGTGGTGCCTAAGATGACTTCAGTAAAATAAAATAATACTGATGCTTTTTTACTTGCCACCCACTGTTGTTCAAAGTTTAATAATAGTTATATTATTATATGTCTATGTAGAGATTCAGTAAACCCTGAAAAGCACAGTCAGTATTATTGCTCAGTAGTTCTATTAATTGATGGCATACCTTTAAATATTGAATAGGTCTCGTTTACCTTTGTTAAACAGGCACAGATGCCTTTAAAATGCGAGCTGAAGTTATATTCAGGTTGAGTTGTAACCTAATGATTTACATCATGCCTTCAAAACAGCAAGGACAAGTTAAAGCAGCTACTGAAGTAGACAGGCACTTAGGAGGGAAGTCTGTGGATTCACATCATAACCACCATTACAAGCATGCCTATGGAAGCAGTTTTCTGTCTTTAGCCATACATAGAATATACCCACAAACTCCACAAGAACTGGTTTAGAAAAAGTTAGAAAAAGGCAGAATCATCATCTACTTCCCCAGTGGTGTTTCTCCTTCACACTGCCTGAGAGAAGACTAGGGCTTGAACAGGGAGCCACTGAGAGCTGCTTGCCATCTGGCAACACGTGAGCAATGTGTGTGCGAGGCTGAAGCGAGTGCTTTGGCTGACATCTGTTGGGAAGGAGCTTTGTTTGGCTTGAGGCCATGGTTTCCTGTGTCTGTCACACTTTATAGAACACCAGTGTTAGCACTTAGGTTATGATAGGGTGTAGAAACTCAGGTCTGTGTGTCCTAGCTTAAATTGCTTTTTTAAACAACTTCACTGCACTGGTAATGCATACAGCAAATTCCCTGCCTCTTGGGAGCCCAGGCTTGTGTGTGCAGCAGTGGAGAGCGTGCTTAGAAGTGGCAACAAAGGTAGCTTTATGAAAATGCCTTGGAGTGAGGGGAGATCCTTATTTGCATGATATACCATAACCTTCTGCCTTCTAATTGGTACTATTTGATGACAACTGGAATTGGCGATCTTTCAGCCACCCCAAGTTCATGAGGGTTTGCTTGATAACATTGTTAAGCCCACTGGCTGCACTTTATTAGCAGGGTCAGTACTAAGAGCTTGCCTCTCAAGCAATGGGTAGGTCTTCCTACAGGCACCAAAAGTTTGTCAACTGCTGTGACCCCTAGAGCCCTTTAAAAAGCCCAGCAAACAAGGCATTGAAGTCTACAGTGCTTTTTTTAATGTTGTTGTGTTTTTTGTGTGATTTTTTATTATTAATATTTTATTTTTCTTTTTCAGTCAAACTTTTTGGAGTGGGTTTCTCTGTTATTTGAAAATGTATGCAAACACTGAAGGAGAATTAGGAGCATCAAGTGGGGCCTCTGCTTTTATTAGGAGACTTTTATTTTCTGAGTAGATATCAAACATATTTTTTACTCTTTAGACAGTTAACTTTCCATCTCTTTTGTAGGGGAAATTCCACACCAAAGTATGCTAATTTGCTGTTTGCAGTATTATGAAGTAGAAGGAAAATGTCATTCACAGTGCCTTCATTAAAAAGTCCTTCATCTAGGTTGTAAACATTTTTTGCATTACAGTTAATTACATTTTATTAAATCAAACACCCATCTAGTCCCTCTTTTCTGCAAAATTTAAGAAAAAAACACACTCAAAGTAGAAGATTAATTGTATCATAAAGTATCCCATGGCTTCATTTATCAAGAAGTAGGATGCAGAAGTCCCCAGCCTCCAGTCTTCTTTTATTCCCTTCTTCATCCTTATTCCAGAATGGAATTTCAAAGCTTTCCACAGCTGTGTTACTGTTATTAAATCAATGTGTTTTATGCAAGACCAGAGTATTAAAAGGAATAAAAATGGAGGAGACTGAGAGGGGATTTCATAAATGCTTATAAATACTTAAAGAGTGAGTGTCAGGAGGATGGGTCCAGTCTCTTTTCAGCAGTGTCTAGTGATAGGACAAGGGGCAGTGAACATAAGCTGGAGCATAGGAGGTTCGTGTTAGACATGAAGATAAATTTCTTCATTGTGAGAGAAACAGCACTGGAACAGAGAGGTTGTGCTCAGAGAGGTTGTGGAGTTTTCTTCTCTGGAGACATTCAGAACCCACCTGTACATGTTCAGGCGTCATCTGCTGTAGGTGACCCTGCTCCAGCAGGAGAGTTGGGTTAGATCATCTTCAGAGGTCTCTTACAACCCTGATGACTCTGTGACTCTGTAACTGGAGTTACAATAGGGCAAGGCTTGTGTGAAGAAGTGAAGCCGTTGTTGCCCTTCTTTCCAAAGCCACCTTTCTTCTTTTCCTCCTTTTATGTCATATGGTCTGTGTCATACAGTAAGATGTGTCACCCAGCTCCGTCTGCAGAAAGGAAGATACACCCATCCATGTGAAGTGGTCTGCTCAGACATAATACACTGTTTGAGCTAGTGCAGGTTTCTCTGTATAGTACTTCTGCACCAGTAGGTGTCATGTTGTAGGTTTTAGAGGAGAGATTCAGCACAATGTTAGTAGTGGTGGATTTCTAAGGCATCAGGAATGCTTATGCTACCTTCTTGTTTTAATTTTATTTGGCTTGAAAAAGAAAGTGAAAGGAGAATGAAAAAGGACTCCATAGTCGTCAAAATTGGGCAGATACATGTTGATCAAATTAGCTAGGATGTTACCTCTGGTTGCCTCCAGCACAGGTATTTTTGCTGTTGCATACAAGTTTACAGCTGCTGTAGGAAGAGTGCAGCTGTTAGAAGAAGTTCTACGCAGTAGTTCTCTTCTATACAGAAGTTCTATGCAGTTCTGTGCAGTAGGTACAGGGTGTGGTCAGGCAGATGGTGTGGAGGAGACTTACACCAAACTGGGGAGGTGGACCCTTCAAACTGCGCTAGTGTTTGTGGAAAATATTTGCCTGTAGAGAAACAGTAGCACTTGCTGCCGTCTTTGAGGTCATCCATAAAGAGATAAATTTAGCAGGACTTGTTAATTTTTGTGCTCTTTTCCTTTATATTGTCATTACTCCTCATAAAAAGACTTCTGTTCAGGGGCAGCTG